TGATGATGATGATGGTGTGATGATTAAGCTGATGATGAAGATGATGGTGATGATGATGGTGTGATGATAAAACTGATGATGAAGATGATGGTGATGATGATGGTGTGATGATTAAACTAGTGAGGATGATGGTGATGATGACGGTGATGGTGATTTTGATGGCATTGATGATGATGATGTGGAGAGGAGGCTGGCAATGAAGAGGATGGTGATGTTACTGGTGGTGGTGGTGATGATGATGGCGATGACAGTTATGTGATGATGATGATCATGAGGGTGATCATACTGATGGTGATAGTGGTAAGGATGAAGGTGATTATGGTTATGGTAATAATTATGATTTTTCCGTATATTCAGTCAAGTCTGTTGTGTGACCATCGAAAAGTGAGTGAATCTATCACTTGCATCAAAGAGTAGTCAATAGGTGGACCTGGCCTGGAAGGAAACGTACAGCACACGAGGCAAAGAAATGGAAGAAAGTAATCACTCAATACAGAGAGAATGGTGTGTGCAGACATAGACTTGTAACAGGCCAGTGCTTGGGCGGAACACCTGGAGCTTCCCATTCTTGAGGATGCATGGCTGCAGGCCATGTGCCCAAACTAAGCCAGTGCCCTTGGTTTGCCGAATGGACATGAGGAAGGCTGATCTTCTGCGTCAGCCAGGCCTGTCGCTGGTGTCCTTGCTACAGCCACTATTGAAAAGAAGCCTCTGCTGGAACCTTGGAGGACGAGGGGATACACCCAACGCTTCACTCTGGAGCTGTGGGGCTTGATTGATTGGTTTGGCTCCTGCTTGCATTTCTTGGAGTGGATTTATTAAAGGTTGTTTGGCTGTGTCAGTACAGTCCCCTCAGAGTGTGACTTCCTTTCGAGTCGGCTGGGACATTTCAGTCTTCTCTGCCACATAGGACGAAAAATTGATTGTCCTGGGAATTCAGGCATTAAACAACATGTATGGGGCTTTAAAATTTTTCAGCTCCCCTTCTTTCTAACCAAGCAAACTTTTGAATTGACAAATAAATGCAACTCTTTTATGAACAAGAAAATCAAACAAATTGCACAAAATTACTATAAGACCTAAAAGAAAACTTCTCACCCAAGCATTAGAGCAAGATGAATATAGTATGTATTATAGCTATTTAATTGCATTGATGACAAAATAGTGCTTGGAACATACACGTCACTGTTTAGAGAGGGGAACGATGGCAGAAAGCAATAACTAAATTAAAACTAGTGTATTGTCTTCCAGTGGGAGGATATATGCAATTCCAAATGAAAGAACAACATCTGTCTATTAACATGGGTAGATCTCTAAATCATACAGAGTAAAACAGGGGGATTTTCCAATTGACTCCAATTGATTAGACTGTGTGTTTTCTACAGGAATATATTGGTACATAAGCGTTTTTAAAGCTTAGAAAAATACACAGGAAGATTTTAGTTTTATTTGGAAGTTTCTATCATTCTTTCTCTTTTTATTTCCAACCATTCATTCATGTTGAATCTTTCAACTTTTTTTTTGGAAACGGGATCCATGTGCAGGGTTGTTACATGGGTATATTGTGTGATGCTGAGGTTTGGGATACAGATGGCCCTGTCACCCCAGTGGTGTTCACAATACCCAATAGGTAAGTTTTTCAGCCCATGCTCCCCTGTTCTCCCTCTCTATCTAGTGGTTCCTAGTATCTGCTGTTCCCGTCTTTATGTCTATGTGTATTCAATGTTTAGCTCCCCTTGTAAGTGAGTACATGCAGGATCTGGTTTCCTGTTCTTATATTAATTCACCTAAGAACATGGACTCCACCTGTATCCATGTTTCTTTTTAAGAGAAGAGCAAACTAAAGCAAAAGGAAGCAGAAAGAATGAACTAGTAAAGATTAGAGTAGAACTAAATAAAATAGAGAATAAAAACAAAATAAATAAAACAAACAATACAAAAACTGAAAAATTTTTCTGAAAATCCCTAAGTAAGGGTGCAATGCATCGTTTAGGATAATTTCATGAGAATCAGTCTTTAAGAATGTGATAGTTTGGATTAATACCAAGTTAGTTTCCATTGTGCAAAGAAGCTTTGCTTCGATAAAGATTTGTTCTCTTTCCATTCCTTTGTGTCACTATTGTCGTACAAATTACATCTTTACACATTATAAACCCATCCAAATGGTTTTATAATTATTACTTTTATCAGCTGTCTTTTAAATCAGATGGGAGAAGAAAGGAGTTACAAAAAAAGCATTTAGATTGTCTTTCATATTTACCTATATAGCTACCTTTATAGTCCTCTTTATTTTTTCAGGTGAATTCAAGTTACTGACTAGTGTCTTTTCCTTTCAGCCTGAAGGGCTATCATTGTATTATTCTTTATAAGTCTTATTTTCTTTTCGACTAACACACAATAATTGCATGTATTTACAGGGCACAGGGTGATGTTTTGATGCATGTTTACATGTGTAATGATTAAACAAGGGTAATTAACATATCCATCACCTCAAACATTTATTATTTTTTTGTGGCAACAGTGTTCAATCCTTTCCTCTAGCTATTTTTTTATATACATTATTTTTAACTGCAGTTACTCTGCTGGGCAATAGAATACGAGAACTCATTCCACCTGCCTAACTGGAACTTTATACCTGCTGATCAGCCTCTCCTCATCACGCCTCCTCCCTGCCCTCCCCAGGCCCTGGAAACTACTATTCTTCTCTTTACTTCTATGTTATCAGCTTTTTGGATTTCAGACATGAGTGAGATCCCTCGACATTTGTTCTTCTGTGCTTGGCTCATGTCACTCAACATAATAGTTTCTAGGTTCATCCATATTGCTGCAAAGGACAAGAATTTATTATTTTTTATGGCTGAATACTACCTCATTGTGTCTGTATACCACATATTCTTCACCCATTCTTCTGTTGATGAACACCTACATTGATTGCATATCTTGGTTACTGTGAATTGTGCTGCAATAAACATGGGAGTATAATCATTTCTTTGACATATTCATTTCATTTCCTTTGGGTATATACCCAGAGGTAGGATTGTTGAATTACATGGTAGTTCTGTTTTTAATTATCTGAGGGACCTCCATAATGTTCTAATGTACTAATTTACATTCCCACCAACAGTGTTTAAGAGTTCCTCTTTATTGACATCCTCACCAGCATTTGTTAAGTTTTGCCTTTTTGAAAATAGCCATTCTAACTGGGTTGAGGTGATATCTCATGTGGCTTTGATTTGCATTTCCTCTAACTGTGATGGGTTTTGGTTTTTTTTCACACACCTGTTAGACATTTGTATGTCTTCTCTCGAGAAATCTCTGTTCAGATCTTTTATCCTTTCTTTAATCAAAATATTTTCTTTTTTTGCTACTGAGTTGAGTTCCTCGTGTATCCTGGATATTAACCCTTTGTCAGATGCATAGTTTGCAAACATTCTCTCCTCTTCTGCAGGTAGTCTTTTTGTTCTGTTGTTCCTTTGCTGTACAGAAGCTTTTTAGTTTCATGTAATTCTATTTGCCTATTTTTGCTTTTGTTGCCTGTGCTTTTGAAGTTCTGTTCAAAAAATACTTGTCCAGACCAGTGCCATGAAGTGTTTCACCTATGTTTTCTTCTAGTAGTTTAACGGTTTTGGGTCTTACATGTGAATTCCCCATTCATTTTCAGTTGATTTTTGTATACAGTGAGAAATAGGGGTCTATATTACTCTTCTTAAGCCCTCTGTGGACATCTTTTTTCCCTGATATTTTGTTGCAAGTTTTTGGTCAAATTTTTTTTGTCTCAAATGATATCTCATATGGCTGCATTGTTAAACAATTGCCACTGATTGTTTCACCCAGTAGATAGGCTTTATTCAGTGGGGTGAGTTCTGTGTCAGGTCAGATAGCTCCAAAGCTCTGAGAATGGCTTTTCCTTGTGAGATAGTCAAATAAAGTCAAAGTTCTGAATTTTTGAAGATTTCTAAGCCCAGCATTTTTCTTATATTGGCTGCAAAGCTGCTACCTCTCACAGATATTGTAGTCTTGAATTGGAAGTTTTTAAGACAACTGTGGAGCCAGGTAGAAGGATATGGAAATAGATCAAGTTAAAAGCCACAGGCCCTGCTATTCCTACTGAAGTTCAACAGTTCTTCTTGAATAAATGCTCCTCAGGTTGTTGCCACATTTTGGTGAATCTCAAGAATTCTGAAAAAGTTGATATTGAAATATTTTGTCAGAGTTGTTGTTGCTTTCCTGAAAGGGAATATTTATAGATATTCTCACACAGGGGTGTCTGATCTTTTGGCTTCCCTTGGCCACGTTGGAAGAAGAATGATTGTCTTGGGCCACACATAAAACACATTAACATCAATGATAGCTGTTGAGCTAAAAAAAATACAAAAAAAATCTTATAATGTTTTTTAAAAGTTTCCAAATTTGTGTTGGGCTGCATTCAAAACTGTCCTGGGCTGCATGTGGCCCCTGGGCAGTGGGTTGGACAAGCTTAATATACTATTTCAGAAGTCCTGTCCCCCAGGCTGTCTTGCAGCAGAGGGTTTCCCTAGAAGATATACTGTCCAGAAAAGCACACTTATTCTATCCATGTTTTATAGATTTAACTGTGTGTCCCCATCACCCCAAAATTCATATGTTGAGGTCCTACCTAACCTCCAATGTGATCTCACTTGGTGATAGGGCTTTGAGGAGGTAATTAAGGTTAAAAGAAGTCATAAAGATGCAGTTCTACATCAATCGTAGATTGGATAATAAAAATGTGTTAAATGTATGCCATGGAATACTATGCAGCCATAAAAAAGAATGAGATCATGTATTTTGCAGAAACATGGATGAAGCTGGAAGATGTCATCCTTAGCAAATTAACTCAGGAACTGAAAACCAAATACACATGTTCTCACTTATAAGTAAGAGCTAAATGATGAGAACACATGGATACAAAGAGAGGAGCAACAGACCCGGAGGCCTACTTGAAAGTGGAGGGTGGGAGGATGAAGACAATCATGAAAAATAATGATTAGTTACTAGGCTTAGTATCTGGGTGACAAAATAACCTGTGCTACAAACCCCCATGATATGAGTTTACCTGTAAAACAGACCTGCACATGTGTCACTGACATAAAATAATAGTTAAATAAAGGTGGGGTTTTAATTTGCTGGAATTGGTGGCCTTATAACAAGAGGAAGAGCAAGGCCTCCTCTCTCTCCAGACATGCATGCCAAGGAAAGGCTGAGTGAGGGCACCTGGAGAATGTGGCCCTTTGCAAGCCAAGAAGAAAGTCCCCACCAAGAACTAAATAAGCTGGTAGCTTGTTGGTCTTGGACTTCTGGCCTCCAAAACAGTGAGAAATAAATTTTTGTTTAAGCCACCCAGTCTATAATATTTGGTTATAACAGTTCCAGTGGACTAAGACACCCAGGTAATACCTGTGCCTGATCTATTACTCCATGTGAAATGGTCTAAGCAAGCTTCATGATCAGGACATGAACTGACATACATCATATGTAAAGGAATCAGGTAATACCCATTTAAGTTTTGGTTTAAAAAGTTATAGCTCCCTATTACCAAAAAACTTCATTTCTATTCATTTTATAGATACTAAAACATTGTACAAAATTATAAATATGTGGGATCATATATAATTATAAGTATATGGGATTATAGAATTAGTTGTAGAGATTTATTCCCATTGTTTTTAAATTAGAAAGTAGCCATTGATAGAATAGGTGAGTTTGAAGAATAGAGCATGAAGGTTGTAGACATGAATAGAGTGTAACAATATCCGCTTAAAGACAAATGATTATAAACCTCGTTACGAGGATGTGCTTTTGTCTGTGAATTCGTATTCACTGAGAAAGTTGTGCAAGGATATTTATAGCACTGACTATTACACAGGGGTAGAAAAGAGAGGAAGGTAGCTGGAAAAGTTACTCTAGGAAACTGGAAAAATAAGCACGGAAATATGAACTAAAATGTGCGATATAAAAGTTACAGACTAAACTACCACAGATATATTAAAAATTGGATCATCGCATTCACTTATTCATTTATCCATTCACTCAATGAGTTTAGTTTGAGAAACTTCTGGGTGTCAGGCATTTCTAGACACCAAATTAGCAGGGAATAAAATAGTCTTATAGTTTGTGAAACTTACATTCTAGAGAAACACCAAAGGATATCCACCAGAAATTTGGTAAGCGTATAACAACATAGGAAGTGAGATTGTAATGTTTTTGCTTAGATTCGTATTCCTACTTCATGTACGAGTAAAACTCTCCATAAGAATAAAATAGCCATAGTTTTTGATTAAGATATGTTAAATTAAAAGTCCACTAGAAAGGGTCACACCTTATTGTCAGCCATGGTTGATGTAGCATGAACAAGTTCTTTTTCCATTTCTGAGCATGTGAGCAACAAGCAGTTGAAAGGTAGGACAGGGGAGCTGCAGAGGACCCACAGGGTAAGCAGACTCTGGGGGCACCGGGGGCTTGGGAGATGCACCTCATCCAGGTCCCACCTCGGACCATGACATCTCTTACTTCCAGTACCTGTGCCCTTCAAGACAGGCCACCTGACTCTGGAGACTCAGATGCCCAAAGTGATCTGCCCACCACCACCTAGAAGCTCCCTTTGTTGGACTTTAATGGAATAAGTCCTGGTCCTGATGTCCTACATAAACATAGATAAAAGCTCAAATATTCTGCCAGGAGCCATGGGGATGGGAACGTTTCCATCAACAGAGGATCAGCCGACAACTATTAAAAATATCTTGCTCACAAAACACTACAAAATAGCTCTTTATCTAAAAAATTGCCATGGCAAATATCACCCCAGTGAATTAGGTGTTTGTGTGTTTTGCGGAAAGTGGTATCTTTTCTAAAAGATTGCTACCTAAATAAGAATGCTCTGGAGATTCTAATATAGAAATAAAAGGATGGTTCTGTCAACTTTGGTGTCTCTTTTAAGGAAGAGAAATGTATTGTTCTGTGCTGCTCTTCTGTCTCTCTCTCTCTCTTTTTCTCATTCTCTCTTGCTCTCTCTCTCTCCCTCTCATCTCCTCCTCCTCCTCCTTGTCTCTTTCTCTCCCTCTCTCTCTCTCTCTCATTGTTTCCAGTACTCAAACTGTCAGAAAGTCCTCAAATGTAAGCAATCAGCATGGAGAGTGGCAGGCTGTGCACTCCACAGAGAGGGTGTGACATATTTACATATTTAAAGGGAATGAGCCTCCAGTGTTCTCAGTGGGGACATGGTAGGGTTTTTAGCTTTCTAAGGCAACATCACCTATTCCTGGAAACAATTAGAGTGCTTCACAATGGCCCCCCTGCCAACTCTGCAGTGACAGGAACATGAAAGGAAAGAGAATAGGGGCTTTGTAGAGACAGCCTTGTACACGCCGTTGACAGTGAAGGAAGGTGGAATACCCACCGCAGTGAACACCTCCGATGGTCTCACTGCAGGGAAGCTGCCAGCCTTCTGCCTTCACAAGATGGATGGAGCCCTAGGATGGCACTATTGTGTGACGGGCTTTGTATATTAATTATTTGGTGTTGAGAAGTCAGGCCAGCTTGACCTGCCATTTCCCATGTTGGGGCTGCACTGAATTCAGTGTGGCAGGTTAGAAAGCAATGGAGGTTTTGTATTTGTTTTTTCAAGGCGGATACATTCTGTGGGCACTGCCCATGAAATGAAATCAAAAGCATATTCCCCTTCTGTGCAGTGCTCGAGAATGTGGCTGTGTTGTGGTCTCCACAGGATGGGCTGGAGGCTTTGGGAGCTGGTGCCCTCCACAGTTCCCACACTCATCGTTAACTGGGTGGGGTCCAGGTGCCAGGCTCTGTGCTTGGGGGGCATTAATTATTGTTCTTTTAGCAACCCATCAGCTTACACGGTGATAAGCTTGAAACTGGAGGAATGAAGTGTGATATAACTTTGTGTCTTTATTATCATTCTACTTTTGTGTCAAGACCATACAGCATGTAAATGGCAGAGCTGGGAGATGAGCCTCTCTCCCTCACTCCAAAGGCTGCTCTTGGTGCAGGTGGGTACACCCTCCAGACAATGAAACAGCGTCTTGAGCTGGGGTACCCACCTGGAAGGTGAGCCTGTCTCCCTCGCTCCGAAGGCTCCCCTTCTGCAATGAAGCAATGTCTCAAGTAGGGGTACCCACCTGCACCAAGTCCTTCCCACTGCAGATGGAGGCACACCCAGGCGCATCCTGCAAACATGAGCCCAGCCCATTAAGAAGTTCTCACAGAGTGTGCCGCTAGTAAATGAATGAATGATTTTACCTATGTCAGGAACTGAGAGCTCCTGGGGGGCTGTAGATTGTGACTCTGGGGTCTGCATTTTACCCCCAGAGTGGATGCCACTTCTTTAAACATGGAGTGAAAAGTTCTTTCACAACTGTCCAGGTTCCCGGCTTCCTATGAGCTGTCCAAGGTGCTAAACAGATGCCGTGGTAAAAGAACGGTTCCTGCTTTTGAGCTTCTGCTTGCCCTGAACGTTGCCCTGTGGCTACAGCTCCACAAAGCCAGCCACCTCTCCCCACCTCCACTCTGCCTGATGCTGGCTAATTGTATAAACTATAATTTGGGCCTAGCTATCTGCCCCTGACCCACCCCACTGCTGACCCACTCTCCACAAACCATGTTCTGGCCCCAACTCAGTGCTATGCACAGGCTTCTCTGCCAAAGACAATGGGAACCCTACAGGGATTGGTGCCAAGAATTGTCTCACAGAATAGTTTTAATACACCTGGGCATGCCTCAGTGCTGAGGCCACATGCACCCTCAGCTCAGTGTGGGGTGGATAGCTGCGTGACCAGAGCCGGCATTTTTCACCTCCAGAGTAAAGGGAAGTTAAAACCTAGAAGGAAACTGACAAAGAGGTGGATCAATTAATTAATCCAAACCAAAAGAATGAGAAAGGTCAGAGGTGGTGAAGATGATTCCGGGAAGAGCAAATTATAGCAATGAAGACGCTGAGGTGGGCTAGCTGAGAATGTTCAAGGTAGACAGGAGGTCATGGTGGGCTTGGATCCCAATGAGCAGGCAGAAGGGTGGATTGAGATGAGGTCGAAAGGCATCCAGGGAATGTAAATGACCATCCAGAGAAGGAATATGCACAGAGAAAGAGCTGTTATTTTATCTAGAGGTGCTGAGTTTGTGGTCACAGGAAGGTGTCTAAAGTCATAATTAGCATACATAACTATTTTAAAATACTAATTTGTTTGCCTATTTGTTCATTTTCTATCTTCCCCAGAAGAATGCAATCTGCCTGCAGGCAAAGACAACGTCCCTGGTGCATCCACCACACCTAGAGTCATACCAGCATGTAATCCATTTCAATAAATGTTTATTGAATGTGGAAGGAG